GCAGGGTCCAGGGTCCGTGGCCCACGGAGGCCTCGTGCTCTCCCCAAGACAGGGCAGCGTGGAGCCCGACACGGGTTCCATCCTGCGACCCTGGGATCATGACCTGAGCTGAAATCAAGAGTCAGACGCTCAGTGGACTGAGCCCCGCAGGCGCCCCGTAATGATTCAGTTTGTAAAAATGATGTGTGTTATGGAAAACTTGAGGAAAGCAAGCTGAGGGAAGAAAAGCGTATCCCTCCATTCACAGTTATATATATTCAACCTACTCTTCAGTTATTTTAAGGCATTTTCACTCAGTTGAGACAAAAAAATGCATATGTGTTTTTAATCTGTTTTTTCACTTAACTGTGTAACATAAGCATTTTCCCATATGCTCGTAGCACTTTGAAAGAATACTTTGTAACGGCTCAGCGGTGCTTTCTCAGACGTCTCCCTGCAGTTGGACACGTAGGTGGTTTATAATTTTTGCCTCCAAGGACAGATTCATATACATTGTCATTATTTTGGGGTTTTTTCCTTAGGATAGTTTATAAAAAGTTAAGTTAATAGAGTATAAGCTATTTTAAGGCTTCTGATTCTTTTTGCTGAATTGCTTTCCCAAAGGGCTGTGCCAGATGGGACCGGGTGATGAGATCGGCCTGTATCTTACATCCTTCACCGAGAGTAGGACACCTGTCCCTGTCAGGCCAGGCATTCCTCCCCCACCTGGGCTGGAGACACCTGCAGTGACGCCTGTGTCAGGGGAAATCCATTGGGTTGTTTTAACATGATGCGAATGTAAATGCAGACAGACCCCCCTGCGCCGGTGGAGTTGGAGACCAGGAGGCGACTGAGCCCAGGAGCTGGCTGGCAGTGTGGACCGTGAGTTCGCATTACTCGTGCTCAAAAGCCCTTGCCTCTGTTCCCTGAACTCTAATGGGCCATTTGAAGCCTGTTGGCCTGTGCACACTGCTGAGTGACCCTAGTGTGCTTCTACCTTCTCAGGAAAAGTGATCGTAGTTCCCAGGCTACCTTGCAGGAAGTTTGGGCAAGTGACCAACTATGTGACAGGTGGAGCGCCCCTCCTTCACTTTCCTCTCCCTGCTGGCTTGAACGTGGCTGTGATGCCTGGTGGTTTAGCAGCCACTTTGAGCCATGTGGTGAGACCAAGTGTTTACAGTGGCAGAACAACAATTAATACTAGTCCTGGACTAACCCTGCCATGGGGACTCCGCGGCCTCCGTCTTAGTGCACGTGTCTGGGTTTGCTCCATCACACCCGCACAGGCTCTGTGCCGCTAGGTGCCTCTCTCGGCCCCTCTTTGTCACAGTTTGGTCCTGGGCCCTGCTGCTGTCACAGCCTGCCATGGGGTTTCCGAAGCAGAAATGTGGGTGAGATGGAGCCACATAATCCCAGAGCAAATGTGTGTCAACGCTGGGCCTGGACCACAGGGTCACATGGGCTGCATGATGATGTGCCCTGACGCTGTGGGCGCTGCCTGTCCCCCGTGACCTCAGGTGCCCACTAACGCTGTTCCATGTTTCCACGTGCCTCGCCCCGCTGCAGTTCCGCTCCGTCCTCAGCTTCCGAGCCGGGTGCCCCACGTCCCTGTTGGGGGCACTCTGCTCTCTGGTGGCCCAGAGCCTTCCCCAACTGCTGCCCTAGGACCATAGGATCCATGCGGCCCAGGGCCAGCGTGTGCCCTCAGGATCCCAAAGGTCCTCCCCTCTCCCAGTTGGGGTCCACAAAGCAGGGGCTCAGGGCAACAGTTTCTTCATCTTCAATCCTTCCTGCCCATTTCTCCTCTAAGGGAACAAACACTGGACTTGGGGAGTGGGAGTCAAGGGCTGGATGCTCTGGGGGCGAGGGGTGGGGGGCTGGGGAAAGTGTGTCCTGGGATCTGGAAGAGTGAAGCCTGGGATAGTGGGGAGTGCTCATGCGCTCCACTCATGCTGTACCCCAGGAGGGAGGTGCCAATCTAACTCATCTTATAGGGGAACCCCCCTGCAGGTGAGGGCAATGCCCTCAGGTCGGGGGAGGGGTCCCCACCTGACCAGGTCCTCAGGAAGGTGTCAACACCCCCCCACACACACACACAGGGAGGGGTGTGCCTTCCAGCACAGGAGTGGCAGCAGAAGGATCAGCCAGGAGAAGGAGGAAGAAGGAGGGAGGAGTGAGTCCCATGCGGAAGTCAGGTGGGACGCGCCCAGCTGCCTTGCTGCCACACTCCGGTCCAGCTCTGCGGGCACCGCGATCGATCGCTAGCCCCTCGCCAGACTCTGGGACCAGCATGCAGGTGAGTCGGGCTGGGCGGGGTCCATGCTTGAGGCCAGGCCACGCCCACCCCGTGGGCCCCTCCAGCCAGCCCTGCCAGCCTCGCCTGGAAAGTGCCCGTGGAGGTTCCCTGGAGCCCTCAAGGCTGAGGTGAGGGTGGCCAGAGCTCAGACGGAGCCCCTGGGTTGGCTGGGGGTTGGAGCAGGACAGAGGGCAGATTTCCTCCTGCCCAGCCAGGGATTCTGGGGACCCCAGGGCCAGGCCTTTAGTGCATATGTAGGGCCCACGAGAGGAGAGCTCGTCCATCTCTAGACTTTGCAGCTCTGCCCTGCGGAGGGAGAGGGGGCTCTGGCCTCCAGGGTGGGCTGACCTGGGGCTGGGGAGGCCCAGGGTGGCCGACCGGGCCCTCTGCTCCCTGGGAGTCCTGCCCCAGGCGGGTCGGTGGCCGGCTGGAGGATGTTGGACTCTGACTCTGCGAGGCAGAGTAGGAGGCTGTGGGAGTCCCAGGGAGGTGGGCAGGAAAACATCCTGGGAAGACATCGTTTCTCCCCTCTGCCGGGCCTGGGAAGGTCATCCGGGCCTGGGCCAACGACTGGGTAGCTCTGGGAGGAGACCCATGCCGAGGATGAGAGCGCAACCAGCCTCCCACTCAGCCTCCCTGGGGCTCTGCCAGGTGTGGGCCGAGCAGGCGGCCTCCCGCCCCACCTTTGCCCAGGGCCTCCTCGGCCCTCCGAGAGCCAACTCTGGCACCTGGCTGCTCAGGCTAGCACACGGGCACACCTTAGCCTGACCCCAGCTTCCTCTGCCAGCCCTTTCCCCTCATGCCAGTCCCAAGCTGGGGTGAGGGAGACACTCGGGGCTGCCGAGGGGCGGGAGGGGAGGTGGCACGGGGTTTGGCTTAGGCCCGAGAATCAGTGCCTTGAAAGGGACGTAGGCTGGGGCGCCTGGGTGGCGCAGTCGGTTAAGCGTCCGACTTCAGCCAGGTCACGATCTCGCGGTCCGTGAGTTCGAGCCCCGCGTCGGGCTCTGGGCTGATGGCTCGGAGCCTGGAGCCTGTTTCCGATTCTGTGTCTCCCTCTCTCTCTGCCCCTCCCCCGTTCATGCTCTGTCTCTCTCTGTCCCAAAAATGAATAAACGTTGAAAATAAAAATTAAAAAAAAAAAAAAAAAAAAAAAAAGAAAGGGACGTAGGCAGATGCAGACGGCCTGGAGGACTTGGTGGCCCCAGCCACGAGCGGGATCTGAACACACCCTTCCACTCCGGTCCCAACCATGGCTCCCCATGGCCCCAGCGGCCCGAGCAGCTTCCATAATCCCTCTTCTGCCAACCCCCAGCCTCACTTCCTGGCAGCTCCCTTCTTGCTCTTCGTGCTTCTGCCAAGCTCAAGTGCTGAGTTCTGAGTCCCTGGGAGTACTAACTACCAAGTCCTTGTTGATGCTGAGCGCTGAGTCTCTGGGAGGTACTGAGTACCAAGTCCTTGGAGGTGCTGAGTGCTGAGTCCCTGGGAAGTCCTGAGTACCAGGTCCCCGGACACTGATTGCATGCTGCCCCCCAGGGCCTGTCCCTACATGTTTCCCTCTCCCAGGAACGCTGCCCCTACTTTTTTTGCCTCCTGCCAGCCTGTTGCCCTACAAGGCCGAGCTCCGGGCCGCCTCTCCAGGCCCCTGTGTCTACTTACACCGCACATCACCCTCAAGCCTGCTCTGTAGCAGGCTGCATCATAAAGGGTCTGGGGATGGGTGGATGGACACATGCGACGAGGAACTGACAGAAGACAGACGGACAGCTGAGGAGGTGGAGGGGGGCTGGGGGGGTGCAGATGACTGGCTTCAGAAGTTGAAGAGAGAAGCAGGTGTGGGGAGATTCGCTCAGGAAGGGTGGACCCAGGGCGTTTGGGCTGAGTAAGCGAGGGTGGGCTTCTCTGTGCTTGTATACCTTAGTGGGGGCAGGAGGGTCCCCTGCTGGATGATGAAAGTCCAGGATGCCCATGGGGCCCAGGCAGAGGTGTGCTGTGACCCCAGGGTGAGATGTGCCACGGAGAGTGAGGGGCGGTCCAAACGTATTCCTTGTGCAGCTGGGGTGTCACCCGTGCGTGCTCCATGTGGCCCACCTGATCAGGAGCTGGGTGGCAGTCCCACCCGCACAGCAGTGTCCTCAGTCTCACTGGTGACCTAGAGGCCAAACTGGGAAGGACTTCCCCAGCTCTAACTGTTCGTGTCCTGTGCTGTCGGGGCGGGAATGTCTCCCAGGAGTTGTGGTGTCTCCAGAAGTTTCCTCGTTTGGAGCCACTCTGGCCCGTGTTACGCTGTGGGCCCTGGCCCACTAGGTGTGCGGCTCGCCGGGGGTGGAAGCTGTAAGGACTAAAGGGGGAACAGTATGGGTCTCCGAGCCTGCACCCCTCATCTGTGCAGGGACTTGCCTGGGGTCTGCACGTGGCCGAGGCCAAGTGTGTAGGGACAGCCCCTGTCTCTGCCCTGGGGGCCTGGGGGCCTGATGGGCACACACAGCTTCCCGGAGGTGGAGCTTGCTGTAGGTGGGGGCGACTTCACATAAGCCCAGTCCCCACGTGTGAAGGCCTGTCACCCTGGAGGACAGACGGACCGATGGACAGCCTCGTCCTGGAGGCCGTGGCTGTGGCTGTGGCCCACAGAAGGGACTTGCATCCAGCGAGTGACCTCAGGGATGGTGAGCCCAGAGTACATGGGAAGCAGATTCTCAGAACCTGGTCCCTGTCTGGCTGTGGGGAGGAGGACGGCCAAACGGGAGGGGGGACCCTGACCTGACCGCTCCTGTGGGTGCCTGCCCATTGTCGGGGGTGACCAGGCAGTGACCTGGGGGGGGGTCCTCTGTCCAGTGGCGGGAATCAGATATCTTAGGTGCATCACTCCCCACTGTCCAGGTCACACGCCAGGCCCCCAGAAGAGGCCGAGTCAGCCTTTCCCAGTTGCTCTGGGCAACTGTCCCAAAGCTGTGCAATGTCTCTGGTAGGGGAAGGTGCTGTCCAAACCGGGAGCTGTACCAGGCCCAGCAGCCTCATTTCTGGGATTCAGTAAGGGCCCCCCGCCAAAAGCCTGAGCTTTGAGGTGCCTCTAGGACAGTCCCTCCTCCCCAGGCTCCATCCTCCGGCTCGGACCCCCGTGTTCTGCCCAGTCTGGTTTCCCCGTGCTAACCCTTCACCACCTGGGGTCCCATCTCCCACCCCTGGTTGTCCTGCCTGTTCTTCCCACTGAAGCTGGGGTCTCTCCTCGCAGGATCTGCCAGAGGCGCTCAGTTCGGGGTTGGGGGTGGACAGGGAGAGCCCCCTCCCGCGTCTGAGGTCAAGCACATGAGGTCCTGTCGGTGCACGGGTCATCGTCCGACACGGCACTTGCTGAGCCTGTGGTGGGCGAGTCACAGAACCCGAGGCTGATGACCTGGATGTCCCTGTTCCCATCCAGTTGAGACCTTACTCTCTTCCCCGAGACAGAGGCACGTCAGCCCAGGGGCTCTCCCCGTCCCTGCAATTCTGTGAACGGCAGGTTTCTCCTCTGGCCCAAGATGGGACAGGAGTTTCAGACACCGTAAGCCACATCCGAGCGCCAGAGGCTTGTTGTCTGTGTTAGCCCAGGCTTCTGAGATGGACACAGGGAGAGTGGGGCCGACCCGGGTCCCACCCTGGGGCTAGTAGTTCCTGGTGTGCCTGAGTGGGGTTGCAGGTTTTGAAACAAATAAAAAACAGATACCCAGTTAAATTGAATTTTACAGGAAAACTTTCTTTTTAGGTATAAGTGTGTCCCATGCAATAATTGGGACATACTTACACTACAAAGCCTCTGTTGTTTGTCTCGGATTCAACTGGGACCGGGCAGCCTGCATTCTTCCTGACAGCCCTTCAGGGCGGACTGGCTGGAGCAGCCCAGGGAGGCTTTCTGAAGGAGGCAGGTCTTGAGCTGGGTGGAAAGTGGTTGTGGAAGGGAAGGGGCAGGAGGTGGGCGGACCAGCAGGGGGAAGGAGGCCTGGCAGCGGGCAGGATAGAGAGGAGGGTGTGATGTGGTGCCAGACAGCCGCGGCCCACACTGAGCTCGTAAGCCCAAGGAGAAGGGCGGCAGGGGTGGTGGGCTGGCAGGAGGCCATGGCAAGAGCCCAGCAGGAGCGAGGTGGGTGCTCTGTGGGCCCAGCCCCCAGGGCGTCCCCCGCACCCTCATCCCCGGGACGCTGCGGGGTCCCTGCGCCTCCCCGGAGAGCTGCCGGCTGGGAAGCACGCTTAGCGCCACACTGGGGTGCAGGGCGCGTCCTGCAGCCAGGCCGGAAGAGGTGGGCAGTCTTGCCTGAGGGCGCACAGGGTTGGCAGCCCAGGCTCTGGGCTCCAAGGCCAAGGTCCCCTCCACATCTCAGCCTGGAGCTCCCCCCTTGGGACCCACTGTGACTGTCTGCCCTCGTCGCCCGCCTCCCGCACCTCCACTCCCTCGGCCGCCCGGCCCCGCGGCGAAAGGGCCCAGGTCTGCCTCGCAGCCTGCTGTCCGTCTGCTCATGAGGAGTGAGGCCTGAGCCCGCCCCCTCCCCACCTGTGCACGTTTAGCGCCTCTGTAAAGATTCCTGAGGGGTATAGAGACAGCACGAGGCTTCTCAGCGTCCCTCGCCCTGCTGCCCCGATGCCACAGCCCCGTGGCTGGGGATCCGGTCAGAACCTAGAGCCCGACACGGGCACCTGGACTCCGATGTCACCAGCTGCCCCGCTTGCGTCCTTCCTGTTCCCGGGTCCTTGCAGGATCCCACGTGGCACTTATCCTCACGTCTCCTTGGGCACCTCCCGTCTGTGACGTTCCCTCTCTCCCTCCTTGTCCCTGGCCATCCGGCTTTGAGTCTGCTCAGGCTCTGGAGAAAGTCTGCTGTTTTCTCAAGCTGACCCAGGACTCCGTGTTTTGGGGGGGGGGTCCCTAACAGCTAACCCATACCACTGTGACCTAGACCTTCATCATGTAGGGCGGGGCCCGCCGCTGGGCTCCTCTCCTTCCCCTTCCCACGCGTCCTTTCTCGACCGGGAAGGCTGGAGCACACTCACAAGGGGGAGCACCGAGGGAGGAAGAGAGAAGGCCCCGTGCTGTCCATAAACGCCGCCACAGTAAGGGGGCCCAGGAGGGGCCCCGGGGGCTGTGCACTCATCCGCCTCCTCCTTGAGGTTCTGCCCCTGACTTATGATCCGTCTGTCTGGACGTGCCTGCAGCACGTACCCCTGGGGATTCTCATCGACTTTGACTGAGCTCAGAGCCGTGTCACGTTGGTCCCCAGGGCTCCGTGTGTCGCAGCCCGTTCACGTCTCTGCTGCGTGATTGTCCACCGTGTGCGGGATAACTTCATCCAGCCACCCGCTGGTGGGGACTCGGGTTATCGCCACAATTTCTGTATGCAATATGCTACCGGGGGCATCCTGTTCAGGGGTAGGTGGCCCGGCTGTACAGTCTAGGATGTTCAGCTTTGTCTCGCAAATTCGTGCACAGGGAATCTGTTTGACGCGGTCGGGCCACTGAAACGCCCGTAACCCAGCGGGTAGAGGGGATGCCTCCGGTGACCTGACCCGTGTTTCCCTGACCGTCTAGAGTTCCCGCGTCTTCCTCTTCTGTGAAACCCCTCTCTGCTGCTGGTCTGTTCTCAAGGATTTGAGGAGCTGTTCGCTTACGTTTTTGAACAGACCTTTGCCGGGGGCCCCGACGCCTCTGCAGCCATCCTTGCTCCTTGTGGTCCCAGCCCCGCTTGCAGCTTCCCCCTCGGCCGCTCGTTTTCCCGCACCCCTGCTTTACGTGCTGCCCCCTCGGTGCCGAGGCGCCCCGGCCGGGAGGGCTCTCCCCGCAGGAATGAGCCCCACCCTCCTCTGCTCCCAGGCTGAGGAGAGCCTCCGGATCCTGGCGGGGACCGAAGGAGACAGCCTCCCGCTGATGGAGATCAACGCCGGTGAGGTGAGTCCCCTGGCGAGGGGAGATGGGTCCCACCCATTCCCGGGCCCTGTGCCGGCCCCAGCCTCGTGCCTCCTACCTCCAGACCGAGGCCTCCGAGCAGTGGGACTACGTCCTCGTGGCTGACCGCCGCACCCAGAGAAACCCCGGGCAGGCCTGCCAGCAGCGACGGTTCCTGGAGGAGCTCAGGACAAAGGGCTTCCATTACAAGGTGTGCTGGCTGAGCGCCTGGCTTGGTGTGGGGCACAGGGGACAAGTGTGTCCCGGGGGCCCGGAGACACGGCTGGGGCCTTGTGCCTGAGGTGGAAGGGACAGGCCAGTGTCAAAAAAGGACGAAGGGGATGGTTTCCAAAGTGGAGCGGAGGTCCCCAAGCGCCCTCCCGCCCCCCAGAGGCTGGAGGACCGCGAGAAGGTGTTCTTCGGGGTCCGAGCCGACAGCAGGATCTTTGACCTATACCGCACACTCCTCATGGAGCCTGAGGGTCCTGCCGCCGGAGTGCAGCCTGCCAGGCCAGCCCCCATCCCAGCCACCACCAGGTGAGAGGCTGGCCCAGAACGCCGTGTCCCTGGTCCCGTCAGGCTTCTAGGCGTGGTCTCGTGTCAGAGGTCCCAGGGGCCGGGCTCCGTGACTCGGTGTCCGTGTCTGTGATAAGGGACAATTCAGTTCTTGCTTCTAGGAGAGTTCTGGAGGTTACGTGTGTTCCCCGAAGGGACGGCGGGATTTGGACAGGCCGGGAGGACCCTCCCAGCCAGCCCTCCCCCTACCCCCGCCGACCTGGGATGTGGGTCCCCACCTCCCCTCTCCAGACCAGCCGCGCCTCCCTGGACCTCTCTCCTCAGCCTCCCAGGCCTCCCAGCCTCTTCTCTGCAAGCATCCCCTTCCCCTGCTGAGACTCCACCTTCCACACCACTCTACCCTCGCTCCCCATATCCCTCCTCTGTCACCTGCCTGGCCTTGGCACAGGCCTCTCTGAGCCTCAGTCTCCCCGTGTGCAAAATGGCTCACGGGGTGCGAGGGGGATATGTGCATGTAAAGGCGTAGAGTGTGCTCTGAATGTGTGGGGGCTCCAGGTGGGAGGTGTGCTTGGAGGCCGGGGGGTGGGGTCCAGGCCCAGTATCTGGGAGGGAACGGTGCAGGCCTGAGCCCTGGGAGGGGTCCTGGGAGGGGAGGGCCTACCCTGAGAGAGCCCCATCCTGGAGCCGTGGGGCACAGGCCACAGGAAGACTTAAGAGGTGGGGGTCGGGCTCCCAGGTGAGTCTTAGATTCTGGGCTCCGGTCAGGCAATCAAGGCAGGCAGGCTGGAGGCTCCACTAGGGACACAGAGGGGCCTGGGACCTGGCCAGACAGAGGGTGGGGTCCCCTGAGGAGCTCTTGTGTTCCAGAATCCGAATTGTCAACTTTGTACTGAACAGCAAGACAGCAGCTGGTGGTAAGCATGGGGTGGGCAGGTGGCCTGTGCAGCGCCCCACCCCTGCCCCAGGAGGGGTGTCGATGTGGGGAGAGCAGGGCAGGGTCCCCCCTCACCCCTCTGACCCGACACTCCCTGTGACCTCCAGACACGTTAGAGGATTTGGTGAAGAATGGGGTCTTTGAGACCAGATTCGCCCTGCACAAGGTGAGGGGTGGGCCAGGGCTGGGAGAAGGCTTGAGGGCAGGACCGGAGGCAGGGAGCCCTCGCTGTCTGTCACCTGTGCCCAGGGGGAGGACGACCTGAAGAAGAAATGGGCCCAGTGGAGAAACATGGTGCACAAGCAGCCAATTGATGACATCAGGTGACACTGCCTCAGACAAATCACCTGCGTCCCCACAGACACACCCGTGGCCCCACAGACACATGCATGTGCCCACCGACACACCCAAGATCCCCAGACACACCCGTGTCCACGGCAGACAGATGTGTCTGTGCTCCTGGGTGGGACACAGCAGTCTGGTCTCCCCATGTGGCACCTGGACCCCGGCACTGGCCTGTGGGGTCACATCCGGGGGTGGGGAGGGGCGGCCTGACGGGGCAGCCTCCCCACAGGGACTACTTTGGCGAGAAGGTGGCCCTGTACTTCGCCTGGCTGGGCTGGTACACATACATGCTGGTGCCCGCTGCGGTGGCCGGCCTCGTCATCTTCCTGAGCGGCTTCTCCCTGTTCAACGCCAGTCAGATCAGGTGGGGATGGGAGGCCTGGGACGCGGCGGGGGGGGG